CACTTTCCAGGACAGGCTCAAGCACTCATGCCTCCTGTAACACTAAACAAGTGTCAATCTGTGATGGGAAGCTCCATCAGCTCTCTCCAAAAAATCTACTTTTAGAGTAGCTAATTGAAAAAAAAAAAAAAAAAAAGGAAGATAAGGCATTAAATAGCATTTACTGAACTATAAAACCTAGCAAACAACTAAGTAAATAAAAAGCACCCCCTGACCCTATTTAAATTGATACTTAGTTCAGCAAAAATACTGAAGCTTACATACTGCAATTTATAGCCAAAGTGACAGCTGTTGGAGCAAAAATATCAACATTCACTATGGCAATTGATAACATCAGTCAAGCACAAAATAACCTGCCTGGATTAGTAATTCCCTCACAAAAATAACTCAAAAACCAGAAAAGCACCAGCCACTTCAGAGTCACTCCACATCGTATGTGACACGTTTCATGGTATATTAACCTCAAACAACATATGAATTAGCAGTTAATTACCTATTAAAACTGCTATGGTAATGAGAAATACTTGAACAAACAAAACTGTATCTAGCAGTGGACTAACACACCTTCACCCCTTGGGATTACTGAAGAAAAACAGATTGTCCCAGTGTGCAGCACAGACTAATTCCTAACAGGGCTTTGCTTTGTGTGGTTACAGAGAACAAAACAAAACTTGGTGCTAAATCAAAAGTACCAGAAGCAACAGTACAGACATAGGTAGCTAGGGCTCGGTAAATGTTAGAGAAAGTAACAGGAACTGCAGAAGTGTAGTTTGTTTCAAAATTGGAGGCTATCCAAATGCCTAGTAATGCTGACATAATTACTGTTTAAACTGTTGAATTCTAGTTGCCATTGCTAGATTAAGCATCGGTAAATATTGCCTCTGAAATTTAACTGTCTCAGCAAGCTAGCTAGCTCATGACTGAAATCTTTGTAGAACTGAAAACCATGAAAATTATGAGAAGCCTGTAATTGGACGACAGTGGGAAAGGTTTCTCCCAAGGAATAGCTGAGAAGAACAATGTATTGTGAGAAAGCTGACCAGCAGACCAAGTATTTGTTCTGTGAAAATTAACAAGTTTTTTAAAAAATTACTCCTGAATAATAAGACAGTCAAAGGTCCTTCAAAATGTCACTGGGGCACACTCATGATCAATTAACTCGAGGCTTTTAGCTCTCTGGGCTGCTGATCACGGTTCCCTACTAAAGTTACAGAATTAACACCACTGCCCATGCGAGAAAGTCAGAGATGTAACTGAAGAAGAAAAGGTTGCATAGGAAAACTCATTTTCAGAAAGCCCATTGCAGGACCACAGTGCAATATTGCTACACGCTCTTCTGAGCAAAAGGCTGGAATTAGTTATGATGGCTCAGCAATGCTTTGGAAAGACTGGCTGCGAACAAGGCTAGTAGGGTGTCCTAATTGTTCGTACTTCTCCCAGGCAGTTCCCATCAGATAAAGAAGCTTTCAAAAATATTCTGTAGCTTTACAGCTGTGAAGTAACTCTTAAAAAAAATACCTGAGGCACCAGTTTGAAACGGTAGCTCTGTTACAGAACTATTAAAAAACTCCAGTTCATCCAAGCGCTAACTCCCAATGATAGCCAAAATTCACCCTAGACATAAAGCAGTTAAATTTCACCTGCGCTAGCTCCCTGAACCAGCTCCTCACTCAGTCCCATGAGTTCTAACACTGGCTGGTGGGGAGGATTATGTGAGCAGGAAAGGCAACACCGGCTGTAGGCCACTTGCAATCCACTGGGTCCAGTTTCAGCTGAAGAAGCTGCCTGGGAGGTCTGACCACAACTAAACTAACTGGACGGCTCTGCTCCCTCCCACCCTGCTTGAATATCCAGCACTTGTGTTGCAGGAGAGCTAGCCACAGCTCACCTAGCAGCAAAGTGAATTTATCTGGCAAGGGAAACAAAGTCTGCAGTAAAAAAAAAAAAAAAATGTTTCCTGGCAGATCAATGACCTGAATCAACTCACCTTGTGGTGAGAAGTTTCAGATTTAACATAGAAGGGGAGCAGAAAACTGTGAAAAAGAGGACAGGAAATTGTCCCCTTGGTGGCACTTAGCAAAATATAAAATTAAAAATAATAAAAAAAGAGAAAGAAGAAGCAGTCCTTATTCACAGTAATGGCTGCTTAAACTTCACCAAGAAAAGCACTGTGTTCTGGTCACTGGGTCCAGTCAGAAGGGTGAAATTCCTGGAGTTTGCTTCAAGGTTGTCTGAGCAACTAATACGTCTCTTAGCCTTGGACAAGAGCAAGACAGAGAGACTGAAACTGTAAATTCCTTTTGTGCATCTAGAATACTAACAAATGTGGGGTTTTTTAGTTTAAAAAAAAATTAAGTCACACCCCAAATTTTCAGTTGGCTCAGCTACTCTTTACCTACTAGACTATTTACCACCAAATGAGCAATAGCACTGGGGCTGCTACAAGAGGAGGGTGGAACATGTTCCCCAGGGCCACTCACCACTTAATCTGCCAGGAAGCCTCATCCTACATTTCTCCTGATGTGAACCTTGACTGGGCTTGGCTGCCTTTGCCACTGGTGACTGCACCTTCAAAAGGGGACGCGCAGATGGCCTGTATCCCGTGCAGGATGCATTTGGCCTCCGAGAGACGCACTGGCCCCGATCGCAACGAACGATGCCAACCTTCCGCCCTGAATCTGCGCGTCCCTTCCACCGCAGCTAGGCCCA